TTAATTTGTAATATCAACTAAAATACCTAGTAAATTTATTTCTGCTGGGATTTTATTTTTACAAATTCGGGTCCAAATTCTAATTTTTATAATTTTCGCAAAGCAACGGGGTAGTAGGATAAATTGTAAATATCGCTTTAATAATAGGTGAATTTTCCTTTTTCATTTTCTCTGGGTAGCTGCGAGAGTTATGAAAACTTGACAATTTTCCCTTACGCATTGCATTCCTCCAACGCATAAATAAGCGAAGAAAATAGTACAAGGTACTTGAAAGAAGTACAAAATATCGAAAAGATATTCGTTTAAGAACAAAGAAAACTTTCAAACAACAGTAAAGTTTCTTTCTTTTTGTATTTAGTGTTAAAATCTAACAATCCCAAAATCCCAAACTGTTTTGTTACAAGAAAAGAATCATTAAAGTTTCTTCAAATAATTTAACTCATAAATCCACCGGAAGTAATAATTTTTCGTTTTTATTGTATTTGACCTTGGTTTTAGTCTGGGTCTTGTTCGTTTGGTCTTGGTTTCAGCCTTGGTCTTGAATAACAATATTTCAAGTAGATTTTTATGGATTTAGAAAACAATACCAAAGGCAGTTAATTGGCTTTTTCAATCTGAAGAAGAAGGCTGCTTAGTGGGTAAATAAGGCTTAATGAAAATTAGTATCGTTTTGATCACACTACAATTTACTTAATTTCTTATTATCATTTTTATACCACAATGTATTTAAAATATTTATATTGAAGTGAATACATGAAGTAATAACTTTATTATTTCAACAATTTAATCGCATCGATTTTTGTTTCAAGTACCTACTTAGAACTTTTCATTTCAAATACGCAAAACAATAATTAATTCTGATAAAATAGGTTCAGAGCACGTCTTTGTTTAACTTTTACTTGTTTCAAATAAAGTGCGTCTAGATTATAGATTGGGGATGAGTAACAATATAGGTGGGGTTCTCCGATATTGCATCGCATACCTTTCTGAAGACTGATAATTTATATTTGTAATTAAAATGTGTTTTTCTAGCCTTTTGCGAGTATGTTTTAAGTTTTTCCCCAGTAATGATCATAAGCCCTAAGTTATTTTCAATAAGGCTTCTTTGGGTAAGCTACAGCATTGAAATTTAGCATTTGTTCGTAAACCGTAGCAAAGATATCATTACAAGTCCAGAATAGCGGATGCCCAAAGAGGGCGGTTTATTTCTTCCTTTACGGTCTTTCTCTGACATTAATTTCAAATGAAACGGCTTATCAATAAGTTATGTATACAACTTAAACATTCACCATAGTGAACGCCTTCATTTCCAATTTTTCCGATAACTGATAACTGTATTCAAAAACTGTAAAGAATTTAAGAAAATAAAATATTAAATGCATTTAGAAATAAGACTATGAAACATAGGCCGATCACTTTTTACAAAAAAAAAAACAGCCTAGGTATGTAAATAGTTTGGGAACAGTCTCGAAGGTTTTTCTCACTCTTTTTGAGGATTGTTTTCATTTTCCCCTCAAAATCACTCCCCAAAACGTATAATTATTATATTACAGACTACCAACACCCTCAATTTAATTATCTTTAATTTAATTAGTACGGTAGCAAAATCAACTTTATTTATAATATTACAATTCAAAAATGCAACTACAAATTTGCAGTTTTCGAATTTTCTATTCATTTGTGCTATAAGACATTGTTTCTTGCCAAATTTTATGATTCTATGTTAATGGGAAGTACCCTATAGGTTTAGATTTCCTTGCCAGTGCCAAAATATGCTGCATAAACGGCCATATCTTTTGATAGCACTGACTCAGAAGTTTGAGTTTTTCACAGTTTAAAGGAATTGCAGACCTGAAATATTTTGATATTAATTTCAGCTTGATACCTCCACGCGTTCCTGCAAAAAAAGCGCTGAGGTACGAAATTCTAAAAATGTAAAAATTCTCTATTTTCAGATTGCATACCAAAAAAAAGAAAGGATTTTTTTTACGTATAAAAAACTCTTGTGAAAAAATTGACATGCAGTTTATTGTAGCACAAAAGTGGGAAATTTTAATTTTCATTTGAGGTAGTTCAAGACTACTGCTAGTTTTTCCACAAGAGCTCTACATATTGGCATGCAATTAGAAAACCCGAAATTTTAGATTTTTTTTTACCAGTATTACAAATGCGACCGTATGAGCCCTTTGGGCTGTACTAATAAGCTTTAAATCACCTTTAACCAATTTACTTTACAAACGCATGCAATTTAATGTTCTGTTTTTTACAAATATAATTTTAATTTTGCTGTGACCAAAATGGTGCATGCAAGACATCGGTATTTTTATCATTCTTAACAGAGGGTAAATTATGAAATTATGAACCATCATAAATGCATGTGGTATAAAATCTGACAAAATTCACCTTTTATTTTAACAATATTTAATTATTTTAAAACTATCTAAAATATGTTGCTTACGACGTCTTCTTAAATAAAGTTTTGAAGTGTTTAAGAGAAAAAAAATTGATTTTTTTACTGCACACTTTTCATTTTCTGTTATTCTTACTTAATATCCGTGCAAGTTCTTGATTAACTGAAAATTTATTAGTTGTAATCACGATATAAAATATGTAAAAGTGATGAAATTGGAAAACTGAAGTATAAATGACGAAAATAAAAAATTAGAAACACAAATCAGTGTAATCTTAATACATGTAGGTATGAGAGTTGCAATTTTTTCTATTTAGTAACCAATACTTTATTTACGTGATCTGTTCAGTTTCTTGCATCATTTAGATGAATTAGCCAATTTACCCGTTTTTATTTCTTTGTTTGGAGTTCTTTATTTGGTATCAATGTTAGTCAGGTGAGAATGTGAACTACTTTAAAATTAACTTGTTTTATTAATAATATTGATAACAAAAGATAACTCAAAAAGATAAAAAACAAAGGTATTAAACAATTGTTTTCATTATTGCTTCGACAGGCAACCTACTTGTATGCAATGTGAATATTTTTTATTTGTTTTTCATTAAACTTAACGGTGTTTATTGTTGTAAAACAAATGGATTCCACTAATGTTCCCAAACCTAGTAGTGATGACCAGGATAATCCCGATGGGATAGCATCATTCATTGTAATTATTAAATAAATGACTTATCCTGATTGCTTTATTAAATTAATGACCATTGGATAAAGTGATTAATAAAGTAATTTTTTCTGTTCTAGAAAGGTCTGGACGCTAACAAATATGCAACGAAGAAAACCATTTCTCAAGGATTGTTGGACATCGCCTTGCTGACAGCGAATGCGTCTCAACTGAAGTATATCTTACAAGTTGGTACAAGACATGAATTTTACACCCTGATGCTCACTCTGATCATTATTTCGATCATACTTCAGGTAATTCGATAATATCGATTAGATTAAATCCTTTTTAAAACATATGTAGCTATTTGTGTATAGAAAAATTCATATTTATAGATCCGCGTGTAGAGTATATTCTAAATCATCATCATCATTATCATAAGGTCGTCAGTCCTGAGACTGGTTGGACACACACCTCCACTCTTTCCTATTCTGAGCTAATCTTCGCATTTGCCTAAGACTAGAACAACCCATATCCTTAACTATTTGCGAACAATGACATTATCTAGGACTACCTCTACCCCTCTTAACTTCCGTTTTTGCCTCTAATATGTTTCTGACTAGACCTTCATGCCTGAGAAGGTGTCCTAGTAACCTATCTCTCCTATTTCTTATTGACCTCCATATAGTCCTCTGTTCTCCTATTCTTTCTAACACCTCTTCATTTCTAACATTCTCCATCCACGGTAACCTCATCATTCACCTATAACACCACAGTTAGAACGCTTCTAACCTTTTCTTTTCCGCCCCGCCCACTGCCCATGTTTCGCACCCGTATAGCGTTGTGCTCCAAACATACACCCATAACAGCCTTTTTCGAATTTCTAAATTAACCGTTCACGAGCATAGAAGTGACTTCTTTTTATTGAAGGTAACTCGACCCTGCGCTATCCTCTACTTTTTATCCCTACAACTCCTTCCATCCTGACTTATCTGACTTCCTAGATACCTAAAATCGGCCACTTCTTCTAATTTTTCGTCTACTATCTTTATATTCACTCTTTCCCTACTTTTTCTTTCCTTGCTAACCATTATTTTTGTTTTACTTTTGTTTATTTTCACACAATACAGTTTTGTCAATACCGCTTCCATTTCATTTAAAGCTATCTCTAACTCCTCCTTGCTAGATGTTGATACTGTTATACCATCTGCAAATCTAAGCATACTAATCTTTTCCCCTGTGTATCAATAGGTACCTAATAAAAAAATGGTTAATGCAGCTAGTGCTAAGTAATTTTTTTTTGTAATTAGGAGAAGTGTTACCGTCTTAATCTAAAATATTCAACTTAATTTAAAGATGTGGTACAGTAAACTGTTTTGAAGCGTTATTTCAATGTATCAGTAAATTAATTTTTCAATTGATTTTACCCACTACGGATAACCTCAAAATTAATGAGAAAAAATTGTTAATTAATACAAAATGCGTAACTGTTATCTTATTGCAGCAGTTTAGGACAGTTTTCAAACAAGTAGGTGACATATTTTGAGATAGATGTTACTGAAAAGACAATATCCACACGTTCACCAAATATTACGCATTTTCACTCGTGTAATTTCTATGTTCGGTGAGAGTTTTGCCTTACCTGTATAACATACAAGATATAGGTACAGTTTGAAAATGTTTTGTTTCCATAGGTCTTCATTGGCTTCCTCTGCCTGTCGTTGCATATTATGCGCGATTGTCGCCTTCATTTACCATCTTACCGAAAATCGGCAACGTTTCTTAACTATTTTACTACTTACTGTTCATTTATAATCACTGTGTTGAATTTTTTGATATCAATTTTTGATCCTTCGGTTGCTAAGTATTCTTTATACGAGCAACCTTCTTTACCTGTTGCAGGACTTTAGGTAACTGTAATGTGTGAAACATATTATTATACACACACATAATGGTTCAGCTAGCACAAACTATCATTTCATACTTTAGGTAATTAATTAGTTAACTGATATTGATAAGGCTAGATTGAACCGCTTACAATTAAACAAATTTTGCTTTTCTCGCTGTGACACAATAAAATTATAACCATTAGAAATCTTTCCGCTTTTACTTGCAATAAAAAACGTAAGAACTGTACGAGGGCGGTTCAATAAGTAACCGTGTTTGAAGACAGAGGACGTTCCTGAGGGAAATTGGTGTTGTCATCGTGTGCTGCCATCTATCAAACCACGTCAAAACGAATTTCAGACTGATTGATAGGTTAGTTTGGATTTGGCAGTCATTCCACTCAGATGTGCTTCGTTATTTTCGCTAAGATGGAAAAAGAACAGTATCGTTCGGTAACTCGCTTTTTGTTTTTGGATGGGAAAAAATGCGGCAAACGTTACCGAGGAAATCATTTTACGGATTTTTTAGGAAAGGGAAGAACGATCACTGGACAATACTACAGTGAGTTATTGGACCGCTTCGACAAAAAATTGAAGGAGACACGGACGCATTTGACGAAAAAAAAAGGTGTGTTTTCAACACGATAACGCACCGGCACATTCATCAGGAGTTGTTGCCGCCAAAATGCATGAATTACGTTATGAATTTGCTGCCGCACACCCTGTACTCACTCGATTTGACTCTCTGCGACTTCATCTTGTTCCCTACCATGAAGAAATGACTACTGAGAAAGAAATATAGCTCAAACGAGGAAGTCATCGCCGAGACAGGGGGATTTTGGAGAGTTCGACAAATCTTATTTTTTAGAGGGGTAAAAAAAATGGCAGGGTCGTTGGGAGAAGTGTAAGAAGGGGACTATGTTGAAAAATAAAAAACAAATTTAAAAAAAAAGATGTCTTCATGTCTAACACGGCTACTTATTTAACCGCCCTCGTATCTTTTCCATCTAAGAACTTGTTGTTTATTTAGTCCGAGCAATCGAACATTTTTTGTCCGCATTTTATAAGAGATATTTGCTCGATGACTTTAACATTCTTCATGTTTTTAGCATAGGATGACGCCATTTATATTGTTAGGATTAAAAGACTATGCATTTCTACAACGTTATGTTTATGTTTCGTTATCTAGTTTAAAAGGAGTTCCCCATCTTCTTAAACTATAGAAAAATGTTTTATTAAGGTTTAGGTATATGAATAAGTTTTTCGTCTAAACTTTTTAGGAAACGTGTTAGATAATAAGATAAAATAGAACAACAGTACACTTTAAAAACGAATTTTATTAATTTTCGGCTTTCGTTTCGGTCGATAACAATTTTTGAAAGAAATACGAAAATTGCTGAAGTGTGTTATGGAGTCCATGACTAATAACCCTTAAAATCTCAGATCACGATGTCAGACAGTATAAGTACTTCGTTCGTGTTGTCTTTTCCTTCTATAACGTTTTTTCCGTAATATGATGTTGTTTATGATGGTACTTAAAAATTCGAACTATTGATTAACACTGCTGTTGATTGTTCTGATGAAAATTAATATTAATTCGTGGTAACCCGCGAATTAAATCTTAAGTCATAGAAAAATTCGAATTAGACAAATGAAGAAATTCTTATGTATCTACGTATTCGATTTAAAAAAGTTTGACTGTAAATATGAATAAGGTGGAATGGGAGAGGTTATAAATTAAATTACAGTCAGAATTAAGTAACGCAAAAATTAATTGATAATGAAACTATCATTTCTATGTGAAACGTATATTGTGTTATTTCATCCTCTAATGTAAGTTTAGTAGCAATTTAAATAAAAACATCGATTTTGTTTTATACTTTTGGAATATATTCCAAAACGAAATAAACTTATCAAAAGACCTACAATTTATTATATCGGTGAAAATTGCTTGTTAACTGTAAAAAATGGCGTGTGTTAGTGTCTGTACGAAAGCAATCACTTGAACTTTGTTATCAAATTTTACAGGCTGTAAGGAATGTTGTATGCATTGTCTACGAAATTTTTATCGTTTTATTACGTATCATCTTTTCAATGCCATTTTTGATAATTTTAATTAATTTTACTATTTTTAATGGAATAATTTCTTCATGCATGTTTTGTGATGCTAAATAGGGTTTCTTCATATTTCATATAATGAGCAATAAAATCGAGATCGCACGTAATTTGTTTCAACTGTTTAGTCAATTTCTTTTGAAAATGATAGAATTTAGTTTTGAGTTCGTTTTTAAATGGCGTCATATCTAGTTTAAAATCTTGTACCTAATCAAAGTTATGAAGTAGTTTTTAGAGAAAAATGAGTAAACGTGCACTCTTCAAAATTAACTTTTTGGAACTGGAGATACCAGACGATAAGTAGAATTTTAAATCAGAAATTTTAGTTTCAAATGCGTTTGCGTCCAATATTACTATATATGCATCGTTGTGGGACTGACGTCACCATTTTCGGGCTGAATACTTACTAAAATTAATTTTCCGATGATTTTGACATAGGACAACCGAAACTATACGTATACCTAACCTTGAAGAGGTTCATAATTTTTTTCTTTTTGAAGTGAAACTTCTTTACGCACGGTAGGGTAATTTCGTTTCATACGAGTCGCTATGTAACGAAATCATGCAACGCATTTCCCCCGCTGTCTGTCCCTATGAATGCTTAGATCTTTAAAACTATGCAACGGATTTTAATGCGTTTTTTTTTTAATATATAGAGTGATTCAAGAGGAAGGTTTAAATGTATAATACATGCATAATATAGTAGAGAAACACTTATAATTTTAGAGGTTTGTAATGTGATGTCGTAAATAAACACATTTTTTTGCGCTTACCTTGCAAACGCTGGCTGAACCCTACGAGATAGATCAAAATTATATACTACAGTATTGTACACCTTAAAAAGATCTACAAAAAAGTTCGGAATGGTATATGTCTATCTCTTAGAGATAACCCACAATAACCATTTTTTATCCTTTACTTTTTACGAGAAATAATGGCTTATTTACGAAGCGATTTTAAGCAATACAACATTAATCCTTATCCAATTAAGTACTTTTAAATACATTGTGCATTTAATATAGATCAATATGGCCCTTTACAGCTTGTAATTTAAATGAATATTTTCGAAGATATTACAGAATTACAATGCAGGGACTTAGCGGTTGCGGCGGTACCGGCCGGTTTGGACAAATAGCTGTGATTGTTGTATATAAAGACATTCTATAGTATTTTTACTATCAGCATTGCATCCGTGCGAAGCATAGTGTACAATTAATACCATTAAACTAATTCCGTAACCCCCATCCCGGTATGTTTGTGTGTTTGAAGAAGTTTCACTTCAGTAACGTGTTGTATAATTACACGTTGTATTCTTTTTTAATGCAATGTTTCTCCTGAAGGTTAGATTATAGTCGTTTTGGGTTGGCTTAATTCTATCCATTTGTACAATTATATTGAAAAAGAACTGTACCTTCCATGGGGTAAATTAAAAAGTATATGAAGAAAAAGAACTGAGATAAGTCACTTTGAAATGAAACTATTCAAATAGATGACGACCTGCTGAATTTCATATGATGATGAAGCAGGTCACAATCTGCCAATTTATTTCATAAATTGTTATGTAAAATATTGATTCTTTGTGTAATTTTTTATTTTTTTAAAGACGTCATTTCCTCTAAGATGCAAAAAAATTAATCAAATTAAATTTTAATGAATGGATTGTTAGCTTGCAGTTGCCATTCTTTTTGTGATAATTGGAGGAGTCAACATCAACAAAAGCAAAGACCATATCGCTGCAATTATCTTGAACGATGGTATTCTCATTTTAGTTTTTATAATTTCTTTAGTAAACGTAATTATTTCTGGTTTTGGTATCGAGTACGCAAATCAATCGTTGAGGCTTTTGAATGAAAAATAATTCGTAACAGATTTCTGAGATTATATAAAGAAAACTAATAAAGTAGGATATATAGTAATCACAATCAGAAATTTGAAAAATGGCCATTAGGAAGTATTTGAAATAATAGAACATGTAAAAAAGGGTGTATTAGTGTACACGCGTAAGAAGTGAAACTTCTTTAGATTGTATATTACAGTAGTGTTCAAAAAAAAAATTGACATAAACTATTACATTAACTAAATATTAAATATCAGGAAAATATAACTTTATTTCGAGTTGACGAATGCGGAATATTGATTTAGTTTTGTTAAAAACTTTTACGCTTGTACCATTAAAACCACAGAGGAATTACAAATTTAAAAAAAAAACACAAACGCATATGCAATACATATACAGTACAGCGCAGGCGCGCAATTTACCGAAATGACAATTTTGTTATTATCGGTTGCTACTAACAAGTTAGCTTCTGAAGCCTGTTAAAATGACTCCTTTGGGACATATCCACCAGGGGTCACACGTGGCGCGTTACGTGACGCGTGACGTTACACGTTTAATTTTTATACCCCAGAAAATATCCTTCCTACCGTCGATAAAGAAGTTTCACTTCAATAAAAGACAATTCCTATTATAATTATTAAGTGTAGGAATGTGCATTCTAAATAATGCACAAAATTTAATATGGAGATTTTGTAGGTAGTTTTAAATACTATACTACTTACCATAGAAAACTCTTATATTGGTAGTAAAATTTTAAATAAACAAAAGGTTCACTCTAAAGTAGGGTTTCTTAACTTTTAACAGTCACTGGGCAATTTCGAAAATCCGCCGGACTTTTTTCTAATAGAATTGTAGGAAAGAAAGCACAAAAGCTCGAAGTCCCTTGTTGCCCAGTTGCATTTTATGATCTAAGGACATCGAATTATTAATTACTTTGAAAGCAATTAGATTGAAATCTATAAGAAGTTTGAATGTGCTTTAAGCACTTTGAAATAGTTTGAAGCCATTGATAAATTATTTTACCATGATCTAACTAGTTGCTCATGAAACAGCAGTACTTTCAAGCCCTAAAAGGACTAGAACTACAATTGCAAGCTATCCAACTCTGCAATCAAGCAGTTATTAGCGACAGGTTGCTGACGCTTATGTTGGATATGTATCTACATTAAACTGAGGAGTTGTTTTTGACCATGTGAAGTTTTAAAAATGACTATTATCTTAATAATTAATTGAATTTGGGCAGGCTACCCATAGACTCGGGGCATTCATGACAAGGTCCCTTACAAGGGACTTTAGGTTAAGAAACCCCGCTTTAATTAATATGCAGAGGAAAATCTTTTAGGAGTGGATAATTATCAGTAATTAAATTTTATTGTTTAGGTTATCATTGGGTTGCTTTCATTGACCATGTCACTAATGAAATTAAACGAAGGCAAGACTCAAGCATATGCGGCTGAAATTATAAATCAGATTTGTTTAGGATTTGTTACATGTTCGCTGTTTTGTGACGTTGTTAAAATGAATTTTGGCTATGATCCCGCATTACCATTTAATTCTTCGCAATTAGTGTCTGATCTCTAATCGTAATTGAATTTAATCCCCATTTGCTAATTGCTATTTACGTTTTTATCCATTGAGTTTGTTATTTTATTATGAAATTGTGTAAGATTTTCAGTTAATCATTGCAATACATATTATATACCTACATATTATGGTAACATTAAATAATGTAAAATTGGAAAACAACAGGTAGCATATATACTTAGTTACAGTAAGAAATAATTTTTTATTGTAATGACAAATCGAATTGCTTATTTTTTTGTGACTAAATTAATTTTGATTAGCGAGCACAATGATCTCTCCACGAATGTTCAGGGGTGGATTAAGAAATTTCTTTGGGGAGGGGTAATTATTAACTTTTTAGAGCTCTTTAGTACAACTTGGTACAAATTCGAGCCACTCTATTTAAGTGGTATTTTTAAATATCTTTTTTGTTAACGTTTATTTTTAATTTTTTTTTTGATATTCGGAAGCAAATTTCTTAATTCGATTTTTTTCACATAATATTATTTGCAGTACTCAAGTAATCCATAAGTTATAGAGCTCTTGGGAGGGAAAATTTTCCTCCCTATTTTCTGCCTCCTTGCGTCCATCACTGCATAATTAGACAGATTTTCTTGACATTCGATATGCAAGTATATAAACAAATCGTATGTTTATTTCGTACAATTGGAAAAACAAAATGCAAAAGTGATGGCTTTTTCACATTTTTTCGCTTTATTTAGTTTTTCTTTATTTATTTTGTGTTTTTTTCTTTTTTATTCAAAAGGTTGTCCAAGCTTCTATGTGCCTTGTTTTGGGTTCTAAATATGATTTAAATAAAGTGAAGGACCATGAAGCTTCCAATTGGGTCAACAATTTAGTTTTAATTGCGAACGTTCTTATTGTTGTTGTAAATCTTATTATTGGCGTTTTTGAAATGCAGGAAACTTTTGCGTAGTACCTATATGAAAACAAAATACGAAATTATAGTATCTTCGTGATTTTCAGACATCATCATAGCTGTTGTGTAACATATTTGTGTTGTATGGATTAATAAAGTAATTGTAAAAGGACATTATGCACTGAAGGAACAGCAATTACCAAAAGTGAAACTTCTAGTTCGTAATTATGTACCTACTTTTATATGAAACGTTGGTCTGTACTTAATGATTAATTCGTTTCATAAAAAGTGCCTAATTTTTATTTTAGTGCCATCTATCTAAATTTCCAGATAATTAATGTCTTTAAAAAAATATTAGGACATATCTAAATATAATGTTTAATATCTATTCTGGGCGAACATTTATTGCGATATTTTTTATAAGTGATATGTTTTAGTGTCATATAAATTTCGTAACAATTCATGAATCTGTTGCAATCATAACAGTCTGACAGTGGTAAAATGCTTGTTCATTATTAGAAACAAATGAAGTTATTTTATCATGATTTCATGATAACCAATACGTAAGGGCTTATTATTGTTAGAGTTGCATTAACAATGAAAATTATTGCGAAATAAATCATTCCCAAAAACATAATAATAATAATAATCTAAGATAATATCTCCTATACAAAAGCAGTTTCACTTTTATAAACAACTAGGTTTGCGTTTATGTTTTTTTTATTGATTTTTATGTAAAAGTATTTAAAAATTGAGAACAATATTTAGTACTGTTTTAATTTAACTCCGAACAATTTACGTATGATACGCCGGACGACTACATGAACTAATTTTTATATTTCTCTGCAACAGAATTGTTTTTCTAGGAAAAACGTACCCTATGTCCTTTTATATACCCCTGATAATGTGGATACAAAATTTCATTATGATTGGCTGAGTAGTTAACGATGTTTGGGAGGTACAATCGGAGACAAGAGTACATAAAATTAGAAATTCGTAATTAATTAGGTTTTGCAGCATATCATGAGGTAAATAAATACTATCTATACTAAAAAAAAAGTGTACGGTTTGAGAGAAAATTTGGAATTTAACTAAAAACTTTGAATAAAATAAGAAATAACGAATAATATGGAAAATTGTTTAACTGACTTTTGACAGTGAATATGCCTTGATTTCAACTTCGAAACAAAATAATATAATAATGAGCGTAAAACTTTTTAATATGTTTAAATAATAATTAAAACTTTAAAATTGCATTTATTTCAGACAATTATAAATATTATCATTATATTATCAACTAAAAACGACATTTTCAGCTAATTTTTCATTTTTTCCTCGATAAACATTTAGTAAATTTGTATAACCTTACGTTAAAGTGATTTTCCAGAGTTCAAGTTACCTATTATAAAAGTTTGAAATTTCTGATAGCTTTTTTTCTGTTAATAAAAATAAATTTAATCTGTTCGGTTAACGAATCTCCATAAAATGACGAGTAAAATTACAATTTTTTAAAATTTCAATAACTTTTTAACGGTTTAGTGAATCGATTTGTAATTTTTACAGGAGTTTAAGAATTGAATGAGGAACGTTCTTCCAAATTTTTATTTGTCTCGTAGCATTTTGACATACCTCCCAAACATCCCCAAGGCGTGAAATCATTACAAACAAACAAACACATTCACATTTATTATATTAGTTAGGATTGTGCTATACTATACAGTCTGTCTTTGTATCATTAGCACTTAAAATTTCCATTTTCGTCTTTTTCTTTCCTTTTGTTTTATTTTGTTTCTTTTTTTTTATTTAATCAAAAGGTTGTCCAAGCCGCGTTAAATATTTTATTGGGGAGCATGTGGAATATTAATAATAAACAGGACCACGAAGGAGCCAATTGGATGAATAATTTAATTTGCATTATGAACATAGTTGTAGTTGCTATTGATATAATAATAGGAATGTTTGAAATGAAAAATGAGGATCATGTCTGATAAAATGTTCTTTTTTACTCAATAATAGGTACAGTTGACAAAAAATTACGGTTACTAAATGTACTACGAAATGGTACTTATTTATTAAAACGTTGATATCGAAATCGATTGCTACCTACTAAATAACTTTTTTATCTTTATCAAAAAGATCGTTTTAAAATGATATTTTTTTGTTATCAAACCACTTCAATTAATAATATTTTATCCCCAGATATCTATACTAGGTTATTTATAAGATAATATACGTTTCTGTACAAATAATATTCTGTTTAAATATTTTTTTTTAAATCGGCTAATAGCATAAGGACACAAAATTATTATTATATGCACTTACGTTTATGTTATTGTGGATTAAAAGCATCTGATTTCCTTTAAAGATAAATACCTAACTAATTTAACATCATACTGTTTTGTAGACAAAGAAATGTACTTATTGTAATAAAACTAAATAATAGTGATTAATAAATATTTTGTAATATATTACAGTTGATTTTTCTTGGATACCTGATAAGATTTCTGCTGGGTGTTAATAGATTCACATAAAAATATTCATAACGAGCCTTTAAAGGTTTTGTCAATTTGTAATTCGTGTTATGCTCAATAGATGACAGCACGTCACCGATATGTTACATTAATTTTCAAATTATAGACAATTCTTTCATTAAATGTTAATTAATACAAGGGCTAGTTTTTAAGAAGGACGCACGTTCCTCACCACTGTACTAAATGCTTGCATCTTCTTATAAAAATATTCAAGAATGTAATAAAATAAACTGGCACATTTGGTTTTTGAAATTAGTAATTGAGATATCATTCAATCTGATGATTGCAGTGGAAATTCTTAATTAATTTTAAGAGCAAAGCAGATTAAGCACTTCATCGGCAAAGTTTTAAAGTTATCAGACACTGGATTAACCCTCTCGTTAAAAATCCTCTCACCAAGAATTAAAATTTCATTGACTTTTTGGAAGGAACGTCATGTAGTTTGGAATATTAGGGAGGGTGATATTTAATAGAAAGCTCGCTAGAACGAAGACGTGAACCACAGTGGCGTAGCATGGGAGGGGGTGCAAAGGTGGTCATGGGCCCCGGCGTCAAAAATGTTTTTTTCGGTATTAGAGTCTGCCTTGTAGTAATGTTAAAGACACCAATTTCTTGGTATTTGTACCAATTTTTAATTTGTACCGTGTAGCAAGCAGTACCGTCTTGGCTCGTAAAAATTCAGAAATTTTTGTGTTGTTAAAAATGATCAAATCCTAATAACTAGCGATGCAACGGAAATGTCATAACGGAAACAGAAGTAAACTGTCAATTTTTGCGGAAGCGAAGTGTAATTATTTTGGCTGATTCTTTAATGCAGAAGTCGTGCGCCCTTTTCGCGAATATTTTGTTAAAAAGTTTTCATTTAGGACTTGTATAGTTAATAACAAAATATTCCCAAATAAAACTATTTTTTGACTTCAAAATTTCACTTTTAACTTAAAATTTACACTACTAAACAAACACTAAGTATATGAAAAAAATAAACACTATACTATATTAGTGTTTTCGAAATGAAATTATTAAAACTATTATAAACCAAGCTACCATGGAACAAAAATTTCGTAAATGAAGTAAGTTCTGTAAAATCTTTGCAAATACACATGCTTACTTTTACATTTGTTTCTATTAAGTATGGTAAATAAACATATTTTGAAATTAATTATTTTGTTGTAATTTACAAATGTTGTATCACACAAAATTTATTTTGCACACAACCAACTCAACTTTTAGAGGCCATTCAAGCATTAGGTAAACCGAGTTTTAGTAATTTTAACCCCCTTGTTAGCAAAATTAAACATTTTTTCAGAGTGGCAGTCAAATAATTATACAGTATGCAGTAGTTCAAAATGTAAGAATGTTTAAAAATAAGTTAATATCTGTGTACAAGCAGTAATACTACTTCAAAAGTATGAAGATGATTGAATAAACCGAAACGTTACAAAAACATATAGTTGTGTAATTATTTGACCGCCACCCTGGAAAACACTACATAATTTAATAGTGACGGTCAGGAATCTAACTTAAATTACCAGTTATTTTGGGAAATCCCTGCGTTTTGCTTTCGATCATAGACAAGTAAGGATGTCATATTTGTTCAAATCAGAATATACTAAAACAATAAAATAAATAAAAAGCAAACAAAGCAAAGACCTCTCGTTCTCCTTTGGTGTTTACGTAATACCGAAATGACCTCTTACCCACGCGGTGACCCTGATAGAGCAACAATAGAGTCCAACAGCATTGTTAGATAATAACTAGTAATAACAATATCATCTGAAGAAAAAATCACTACATTCGTTTTTCTGTTTAATCAAAACGAAAAAAGTAAATTTATGGATTTGTTGAAAAATATTTATTTATTGTTTTTACTGGAAAGTTGGCCATGTGCATTTACCGGTACACTAATTGTTCCCTTGTCTGTCATTCTACTGACTGTGCAAGTTTGTAAGGAAAGCTATTTGTAAATAAGTTAATGTATTTTCAGTTACTTATCTGCTCAAAGGCTAAATTACATCTTCTCACTGCAATGCGGACCAAATTAAGTAAAATATCTTCTATAATAGTGAAAATATACTTCATATACTTTCTCTAGCGATGTGTTCCTTCCAATGTCTTGGATACGCGCTGGCAAAATCGTAGGTAGGGAGAAAAAAGTTCATTATACTCTCGACTCTTGTGCATTAAACATACTTTTTCATACAGTACCTGCCAAAAGTTTTGTTCAATCATGAATAGTAGTGCGAGTCAAAAACAAGCGTTAAAGCCTTTAATATGTCTTCAAATATAAATAAACATCTCTTTGATATTTTCAGTAGTAAATGGTACCAATAACAGCACATTTGAGCAATGCAATTGTAGTGGATAAAATTGTCAATTTTTCCGTGCAGTACTGTACGGATTATACGCTCCTCATCGGCTAAGAGTTTGGGCGAGAGTTGCCTCCTTCCTTTTCTGGCCTAGTGCTGTTCTTTTCTACTTTGCGCCGGTCAAACTGAAGGTCACATTGCTACAGAAAGTAAAAGAAGTATAGGAAGGGCAGTAAATTTAGGCTTTACGCCTGGTGGCAGAAATTCACCCTACGTCACTGGTGAACCACTAACCATGATGGTTTTGCTAATGCCGGGTACTTATCCGATACCGGCAAAGTAACTATCCGGTGCATCTCAATACAAATCCTTTTTTGTAAATAAAGTAAATGGTTTGTGAGTTGGTATAACATGATTTTAAGTTTATAATAAATTGTTTTAGAATATGAAATTTTTAAAGAATACGGTAATGAAAATTTTAGAATGAAGCTTTTTATCTCAATACATGCACCTTAAGTGTTCTTTAGTTTCAGTTTGTGTCATTCATTGTAAAATACGTGCGTATGTGTTTATTGTGTCTTTTAGTACATAATTAATTTAATAGTGGTTTCATAAAGAAGAATTACTTCTTAGTTTCTCAAGGTAAGTGAACTCATGCACGTTCAAGACAATTTCTTAACTTATTTCGTAATAATTAGGCAACTAGAAGGCTCACCTTAAAATTAAACCTTAAAGGTTAAGACGTTGTAGTCATATAGGTGGATATGTTCACAAGAAACTCTTGATATGAATAAAGAATCAGTTGTAAGAAAAGCAAAAGGTTTATTAACACGCCATAACAAGCAATGAATTTGAAACATTATTTTGATTTCTTTCCTAATTGGTTTCCTATGCACAGTATTGTGAACGAAATAGAAGAGTATATCAATGAAAAAGGAATATTGCCTTGCTAATATTGCTTATGCCAGAAATACGATTATTCCTACCAGCAAATTGCAAACATTAGAAAGACGTAAAAGGCGAATACAATAGAAGAGGCAAGAAAGTTTATTACAGTTTGTAAATGTCAAAACTTTTTAGAGATTTCAATATTGTCTCCTATTGATTACTTGACCATGTAAAACATTGGAAATGTAGATCTTGGTGAGT